CATAAGTTCCACAAAATATTTAACAGAAATACAATCAAAATTAGTTACAGCTGCATGCCGAGTGTTGGATCAATAATTAATTCATACAACCAAAAAATATTACGCAACAAACCCACTGCTTGTTTTACCAACTGCAACTGTATTAATAAACCTTCAGGCACTTTAAATAATCAATGCTTATCTAAAAATGTTGTGTATAAAGCCACTATATCTTTAGCTAACCCTAGTAATTCCGAAAAATCATATATTGGTATCAGTGAAGGCTCATTCAAGCTTAGGTTTGCAAACTATTTAAAATCATTAAACGCTACTAGATACGAAAACGATACAGAACTTTTTAAAGAAATATGGAAACATAAAAATGCAGGTATTATGCCGTTAATTAAGTGGAACATTATTAAAAAGTGTCAATCATATAATCCATCAACTAAAAGATGTAATCTTTGTTTATATGAAAATTATTTAATTATGACTTATGATCAAGGATCATTACTTAATAAAAAAAGTGAGTTGGTTTCTTCTTGCAGGCATAGAAAAAAATTTATGCTTTCACAATTCGATACTAGAGATTAGGAACTCATGATATCACATAAATTATTTATATCACATAAAATGACAGGCAATCAACAGTCTGAAATGATCAAAATTGCTGTTTTGACCTTCCAAAATAAGTTTTTCTTGGTCAAGATTAACCAGTTAAAGTTTTAAAAAATAGGTATTTACAAACAACCTAGATGTATTTCGAAAATAATAAATGTTCATAATGTATAAAAAATTTTAGTCTGAAATATTTCAAAAAAAATTTTATAATATTTTTATTGATTGTGATAAGCTAATTTTAATTCACTTGTTTTTAAAAAAATCTCTAAAAATTTTGCTACTTTTTGAGAAGTCATTGAATGAATAAACATTATTCACTTGTTTAGGAATTTAAATAACTATGTTATCATAATCATTTTATGATAAATGTTATCATATCATTTTGTTTTTTAAATTATAGATTGTTATAGATTTATAAAAAAGAGAAATAGAAGCTGCATTATGACAATATAATAATGGTTGGAGGTTAGCTGCAAGAGCAGGTCCAACTATGCTTACAATGCATTTTTACACCTTATCTAAAAAAGAAAGGGCATCATTGAAAGATCCGTCTTAAATATAGCAACAGTATTCCATACAAGGATGGATTTGAGATTTATAGAGACAGAGAATAGAATCCTAAGTAAGAAAGCGGCAAGCATGATAAAGAAATGCAACCTTAGCAGATAATAATTATACAATCGATTTGATATATGGTTTCCAAGAAAGATCGGAAGTAAGAGTTAATTCTAAAAAATAAAGAGTAGATCACTCATTAAGTATATTACCACTCATAAATATAGGAAGATCAAGATTATTGCGATAACAATTAGCTGAAATAAATTTAGTTTTATCTGAATTAAAGTTCACAAGCCACTGAAAGCCCATACTGTTGCAGAAATAAGATCTTTTTTAAGGTCAAATGCCCCCTCCAAACAATCAGAGAGTGTTAACTTCTTATCAAGACAAGAGTAAATGGTAGTATCATCAGCGAACAATGCCACCTTAAATGTGAGAATTTCTGGGAGATTGTTAATGAAAATTAAAAAAAGTATAGGGTCAAGGATAAAACCTTGAGGAACCCTTGAAGTTACAGGAAGATTGCTGTCTGTCAAGAAGATTGCTGTCTATCAAGGATATCTTTTATACTATGATTGGTAAGGAAGGATTTAATAGTCTTTAAAATGTTAGCTGAAACATCATAAGAAGAGAGCCAAATATCTCCTCAACAATGCACACCAAAAGTATGAACAAGGATACCATCCATGCGCAACATTGCACTGTTAGTACTCTGATATCTTTTAGCTGTTGATGGAAATACTCTCTCAGAGCTACCACAGAGTTCGGGAATCCTGACTACCAGCCAGGTTCAGAACCATAAAACTGAGTTTTAGAGCTGTACCCTCATTAGGAGAAAATAGAATTGCTAGTCATAAAAACAAAGACACAAGCAAAACCCATGAATTGATTTAAGAAGATCCAACATTCAACATCTTAAACTGAAAACAATGTATTATAAATACATCTACGTCAGCCTAATAGATGAAGAAGGCATGTGAGGCTGGTCAACAAATAGAATCTGTTTACTCCTTGAGTCTTTGCCTACGAGGCTTTTTGTTAAACAGTAGCTGGACGCATTTAACATCTGCCCAAGATGAGTAGTTTTATCGAGACACCATCTCTAGCCTTTTCTCAACCAAGAGCCTCAAGAAAGGGGATGTTTTAAGTCAGAGTTGGCTTCAACTAGTCTATGCCTAAAATAGCAGTTTTTTCTATAAAATGTAATCATATATTTTTTTTTAAATTCTCAGCAATACTCTGATTTTATGGGACCAAATCTTATCAATAAAACTATTATTATCTTTGCATTGGTATTTATATATGTATTTACTAATTTATTTTAATTTTTTCTTAATATTTTTTATCTAATTAGTAAAATATTCTACTACTTTTGAATAATTTGTGTTATTCAAATGTAGGAAAAAGTTAATAGCATTTTTAATAATGTCAATTATTTTATTCATTTATATCAATTATGTCAATTGTTTTAATAAATTATCTGAAAATCTTTAAAAAAAATATTTTTCTGATTTTGATAATGATGTTTTTTTTTTTTTGAAAAATATTTTTACTAAAATTATGAATTTTTAAATGTAAACTGCCCTAAATATATTTTTGGTTATCTCTTACTTTAAAGATGACATTATTTGATAGATAAAATTTTTCATAATATTGTTATGTCACTGTTTGAATAAATTTCTTATTATTTTTTGTTTATTTTATTTATGTTTAATTTTTTAGATGAAAAATAGCATTTAATTTGATATTTTATTAAACAGACATTACATATTATAACAATATTTTTAATTAAAAGAATATTTTTAATATTGGTGCAATAGACATTTGAATAAAACCATAGTAAAAAGAATTAAATTGTTTATATATATATATATATATATATATATATATATATATATATATATATATATATATATATATATATATATATTTTTTTTTTTTTTTTTTTTTTTTTTTTTAATTAATATATTTTTGGTTATCTCTTACTTTAAAGATGACATTATTTGAAAGATAAAATTTTTCATAATATTGTTATGTCACTGTTTGAAAAAATTTCTTATTATTTTTTGTTTATTTTATTTATGTTCAATTTTTTAGATAAAAAATAGCATTTAATTTGATATTTTATTAAACAGACATTACATATTATAACAATATTTTTAATTAAAAGAATATTTTTAATATTGGTGCAATGAACATTTGAATAAAACCATAGTAAAAAGAATTAAATTGTTTATATATATATATATATATATATATATATATATATATATATATATATATATATATATATATATATATATATATATATATATATATGTATATATATATATATATATACATATATATATATATATATATATATATATATATATATATATATATATATATATATATATATATATATATATATATATATATATATATATATATATATATATATATATATACAACAACAACAACACAGGCAAGTTATTTTTTCAAATTATTCTTCTTAATAAATGTCGTATATATATATATATATATATATATATATATATATATATATATATATATATATATATATTTTATTTTATTTTTTATTTTTTTATTTTACTTCACCTCCTCAAGGCGGAGAAGGCCACTACAGACAAGGAGGCTACTTATTTTGTGGCTATAACCCTCTCTCAACTCTATAACTCCGAAACACGAACCTTGACGAGCAAGGCCGCTGCGCGGAGAAACGAGTTGAGCGCGGTACTACCAGGGACGTGGTGGGGATCGAACTCGGAACCACTCGTTTATGAAGCGAGCGCTCTACCACTACACCACTACCGCGATATATATATATATATATATATATATATATATATATATATATATATATATATATATATATATATATATATATATATATATAGCATATATATATATATATATATATATATATGTATAGCATATATATATATTAAAAATTCTAAATTATTAAAAAACTAAATTGTAACACTAGCACCTAAGAAATTGACTGTTATTAAAAAATGTAGATTTAAGTATTATTTTATAATATTTATTATCGACTAGCAATTTAAGTGTGTTGTATCTGCTTATTTCTAATATTTTATTCTATATTTTTTTAAATTTATTCAATTTTCTACGGCCTAGGGGCTACTGCCCCAAGGCCGCAGAACTACTAGTTTTTGTTACCCCTCTATCGCTCTCTTAACCCTTTTACTCCAAAACATAAAACTTGATCAAAAAGGCTGCTGTTCAGTAAAACAAGTTGACTTTTAGAAATGTGGTGGTTTAAGGTTTTCTTCTACAATACTATTTCCACAATAAATGAAGAAATACAATAATACAGGTTAATAATTTTACATACAATAATACAGGTTATTTTTTGAATATCTTAAATATACACAATAGTTTAAAACTTTAATTAATGAAAATAAGTAATATCACAATAATGAAATTGTTAACAAAACTATGTTGTAAAAAAAGAAGATTTAGAATAAAATTTAATTTTCTTAGGAAAATATTATTAAAACAGAAATACTTGGAGTGTTGTTTACTAATAAAGAATTCTAACAATCTTGACTTACATAATAGTAAATAAAAAGGTTTAATTTGCTTAAAAAATTATTCTTATAACATGAAATTTATTTATTCACCTTATTATCTCTAGACACCCTTTTGTATGGTCTATGTTATTAAATATCATATTATAAAAATTTTCATATTCTATATTGCTCATATTTTTTTACATTTGTTAAAAATACATTTGTTAAAAATGTCAAATATAAAAGAGTTGTTACTTCTAAAAAATATATTTCTAAAATTAATCTTTATTTATTGGAAAAATTTAGGAGTTAGAATTTATACTGAGTCAACTGGATCAGAATGGAGATGGCCTAATAACCTTTCAAGAATTTAGTGATAAAATACAGGACTTTATAATGGAAGGTATATTGTATCATTTATGTTGATGTTTTAAAAAAGTATCAAAGTGGTTAACATATATATTTAGTCTGGTATGCATGCATACAGGCAGGGTGTTACCCAGCCTGATGGCACCGCGTATAACGCGCTATTCCCAATTGGTTTAAAATTCCCGAAGGTTTATAAGATCATAGTAAAAAAAAAAAAAAATTAAGTCAGTCTCAGATTTCAAGTGTCACGTTAGACTAGTAAAAATTAGTATGCATGACGAAAAAATGAATTAAATTGATCGATTTTTTTTTTTATGTGTAAAAACGTGTTGTCATTAACAAGCGTCATTAACCTAAACAAGATCATTCATTCAAAAGTTTAAAAAAAACTTTTTTTTTTTAAATTTTTTATTGACACTTATTCTCGAGTTCAGATTTTCCTTTTTTTTTTTTTGATTTATTTTGATTAAAATTTCCTGGGTAACACCCTGACAGGCCAAAAAGTATAAAATAGTTGGAAGAGGACGAAAATAATGGCAATTTTTTTTTTCTTTTTTGTCACAAAAATATAAAAACATCTAATATAAATAGTTGTATTAATTTTTTCCATTTGTCATAAATATAAAAACATGTAATATACATAGTATATTGATTTTTTATTTACAGGATCTGGTTATTCTGTAAATTATAATATTGAAAATGAAGAACTAAACACGGAAGATCAAAGTAGCATCATTGGCCATCAAGAGGACTTTGTTGACTCTGCTTTGCCTCAAAATAGACCAAGTTCTTTTACTGAGAGTGAAGGTTTTTATGAGGTGATTTGTTTTAAACTTAAAACTGTTTTTAGAAGAAGTGAAATTTTATAAAAATTTCAAAAGAAGTGAAATTTTATAAAAATTTCAAAAGAAGTGAAATTTTATAAAAATTTCAAAAATAATCATTTTGAACAAAAAATAAAAAGTACATATTTTTAAAGTATTTTTTTAAATAAACTTATTTAATTTGTGTTTCTATAAATTGTTTTTATTATTTTAAAATTTTTTATAAAATTATATTATTATAAATTTTTTTGAGACCTAACATGATATACTTTTGAGACCTAACATGATATACTTTTGAGACCTAACATGATATACTTTTGAAAAACTTTTTTTTTCAAAATATTAAAAAACTTAAACTTTTTTTTTATTCAAAAATTTTAAATTTAGTTTTAATTTACTACATAGAACACATTTAAGGGGTGGCAGCAGACAATTTAAAAAAAAGTTATTTTTAGACACTCTAATATATATATATATATATATATATATATATATATATATATATATATATATATATATATATATATATATATATATATATATATATATATATATATGAACTGTCCTAAACCTAACTAGGTCTATCATTTTGTCCACCTCTTTCTTGATTAAACACCAAGGCTTTGTTTTAAAGCATTTCACTGCTGACAATTTACATATGATTTAAGCTATTTTACATATCCTTAATGCGGTTTCAACTTTTCAATATTTTTTAATGACTTTTTTAATTATTTTTTAGCAACTTTTTATCATTTTTTAACATTTAAATTATTCTTTAAGCAGTAAGATAATAGATGTAAATAATTAAAAAAAAAAAAAACACTTTGACGATTATGTATAAAATTTTTTTACAAAAGTTTGAATGACAATTATGTTGGATATAAGCACTATTTACAAATGAAAAATGTTCAGATAAAATTAAAAAGAAAAAATTTAAACAAAAACTTGAAAAAACTTAAACTTTATTAAGCTTTTTATCAAAATATATTATAGAAAACAAATTTATTTTAATTTTCCTTTGTTTACAAAATCATTAAACAAAACTTAAAAGAAACCTATAGAGGAAATATTTGTAATAAATTTTTTTTATTTATCATCTTGCTTTCCTTCTTTTTCTCTCCAGTTAAAGCCATAAAGATGTGAGGTGTTTATTTTGTATGCCTTCTGCAGAGAAACCAGATAAGTGGAATATTATTAATGGAGCTAAGGATAACATCAGCTCTAGAGTGTGTTCCAGTATTGGATGTTGTAGTGTCACAGCAAACAGCAAATGCTTGATCTACAGTGTTGAAGTATTCTAACAGATTCACAATTGCTTCAGACTAGTAACTACCTTTAGAACTTGGTGTCTGAACAACACCTAGCAGTATGTCATCTGTGTCATCCGTATCAGGAGATGTAATACCGACTACCGATTGATATTTTCTAGATTCACACCACCATTATTGCAAATAACAGCTACTAATGAAGTTTGTGGTTGTATAACTACTCTGTATCGAGCAGAAACTGCAGCAGCACAGTCAAACAGATCTTCAGCACTTATACTTATCATTATGTTATATTTAGTAGAACGACTGAGTCTATTAGGTAAATCTTCATCATCTGAAGAATCTAAATTCCGATTCAGAATCATTTTCAGATGAATGAAAAGAAACCTCAAGTTCAATGGATTTTACTGCATTCACTGTGATTCTAACTTTACATCTTGTCTCTTCCATTCTCTTGAGCCTAATATTTTTATTTTTAACTGAGTTTTATATTAATTCTTTTTGATCTAGGTAGAACTGAATATCCTCCTCTTTGACATACTTAAAACAAAAGCACTTCTGGTTTACTTTTTGTTCAAAATTTGCCAATTAAATATCTAAGAGTGTATTAATTTCCTCTAAAAAATCATTCTGTATCTTAGATATGTTGCCATTTCTAGAGTTCCAGTTCAATGATTTAAGATGATGTAGATTTATGTACTTGTTATGGAGTTTCAGTATCTTATCCCAGACAATGGATCCACTGATGCTTCTGAGGGCAGGCTACTATTAACTTAGTAGATTAAATTCTTATTTATCTAAATAAAAATTTTATTCTTACATATTTATTTTACATATTATTCTTACATATTTTGTTTTGCCTCATTGTGTCTCATTTTTAACACCTATGAGGGAGGGGGTATTAGATTAAATATGTATTGCATAAAATAGACAACTTTAAAATTTTATCATTGTTTTATAGTTTATTTATATATATATATATATATATATATATATATATATATATATATATATATATATATATATATATATATATATATATATATATATATATAAATATATTTGTTCTACTTGAGATGTGAATATATTTGTTCTACTTGAGATTTAAGAAACTGGAATTATCTTAGAATATTTCCAATGGTTGCTAACTGGTTTATTGGAAGTTCATTGATTATGTACTTTAGGAGAAACAGCAGCCTCCTTAGATTCAGTGATACCATGTACATTGGTAAAAACATTGGTTTTCCAAATCCTCTCTGGCATTAACAATGTAAAATTGTTGGCTTTGCATCTAAAAAAATATCAAAAAATATCAAATATAATGAAAAATGAAGAAGCTGGAATTTTACATATAGCTGTAATTGACCTCAGAAGATTTTTTTTAGTCATACATATGAACTAAGTAGACATAAGGGAATGGGAAAAAATGCATGCAAAAATTTTTTTTTTGGGTCACCCTAATATTTATATATAAATCATCAGGTAAATTCCTCTTTTCCAGATTCTTCCTGATGATTTAAAAAAAGGAGAAACTTACAGTAAAAAGATATATAAAATATTGAATATCTAGTATAATCAATATATATCAATTTAATTTTTTTATTTATGAAGTTTTGTTTTGCTGGGTAGTTTTGCTTATGTAGGGTAATTATGCCTTTCTTTTTAGGTTTTTATAAAATTTTTATTTGTCATTATTAAATACAAATAAAAACTAAAACTCTTGTTTATTACATTTGGTTTAGTAAAACTATTATTTAAAAAAAAAAGACATAGTTTAACTTTGTCTTTATTAAATTTTAACCATCTTGCTTAACATTGCTAATATATAAAAAACCTGGTTCTATATTCTAACCTGTTCTGACCTGGCAACAAGTTGGCACAATTTTTCTTGATTATTTTTATTTCTTTTAACTTTGTAGACTTATAAATTTTCATAATTTATTTATAGCAATATATTTTTTTAGTGATAATCCTTTTTTTTAAGTCTGATACTACATCTCAAAATACAAATTCGACAGCAGATGTAAATGGTGACATTGAAGAGTTAGAGAAAAGAAATTCGGTTAATGGAATTACACCAAATTACTTTACAAAAGCAAAAAAGACATCAAGTATATATTCTACATATCCACCAAAACGAAAAAATATGCGCCAATCACTCTCCTTGGTAGAACTTCAAAAAAAACAGTTAGGTTGTACAAGTGAATACCAATCCCAAGAGGAAGGATTTGAAGCATTTGGAGAAAACTCAGTTTTATCAGATTCATATCAAAATCCTCATTTAACTTCAAGCCCTCATGAGTAATTTTTTTAAAAGTTTATTAGTTGCATTTTAATATTTATTAATTAATATATTATTACTATTATAACTGTTATTATTGTTATTGTTATTAATATTGCATTTATTCTTATTATTATTGATATCTTATGTTATTATTATTGATATTATTATTGTAATTATTATTGTTTTTACTATTATTATTACTATTATTATTATTATTATTGTTGTTGTTATTATTATTATTATTGTTATTATTGTTATTATTAATACTATTATTACTATTATTTGCAGTTTATAGTAAGCAAAGCTGAATCTTTTCCCTTGACTATCTAATATTTATTGTAATACAGATTTTATTTTTTCACTTATTTAGGTACTTTTATTTTAGCTTTTCTCAATTTTTTTATGCATTGTTTGTTAAAAAAACTACGAAACATTAAATTAAATAAAAGGCAATGTAATAAAAAATTAATGAATATGATGAATAGAAGTGTTGTATAGTTTTTTTAAAAAGGGGAAATTATACCTATAGAAAAACAAGTAATAAGTAAACAGTATTTTATAAATATTTATTTTGTTGTTATGGTTTCTAGCAACAATAAAGTTAGTAATACTTAAACATTTATGTATTTTTATTGTTGTTTAATTTGTTTAAGATTTTTGTGTTTGTATTTAAGTTAAAATACACAATAAAACTCAATAAAATTATAGTAGGTTATTTCTTACTATAGATTATTAGTGGTAGATTTATTTATTAAGTAAATAAGTCTAATTTTTTTATTTATTTCTAATGTGTTGGGGGTGTGATTTAAGGGTGTGGGGTGTGATATATGGTTTGTTTGTTAATGATTGAAAAGTTTTAACAAAAGTCTTAAATGATGATAAAATTATGGTAAATGAAAAACCAGTTTTTTTAAGAGAATTTATCTGTGTGCCTTTAAAAAAAATTATTTTTAAAACATGCACAAATTGAAAATTTCATAGCTTTAGATAATAAGTGCAGGTTTATTTTGATTATAATGTAATTTTTTTTTTTACATTAGTTTAGATTATATTTCTAAGGGGTTTTAGTTATTATATATCATTTATTGTTAGAAAAAAAAATCTAAAGTTCATAGTATATGTAAAAATTATTAAATAATTTTTTTAGTCCCAAGTTCTCTAGACAAAGGCTTTCTGGCAGTTTAGCTGCACGCAACCTGCGTCAAGCACATTCAGCTCAAACCAGTTTACATGGAAGTACAGAAGAAATAAGTTTTGAAATGCCCAGCAATAGACATTCTTTTTCTGACAGTGAAGATTTCTCTTATTTAAATGATGAGGTAAATCTTTAGATTTTATAATTATTTATATAATTTTTCTTAACAGTTTACATCAATTGTTATACATGGAAAAATTTTGCATGAAGTATTTGAGGCATGACTCAAACTCTCAAACATTTTAACTAATAGTAAAAAATATTAACATTCAGCTTGATCATTTTTAATTAAAATTTTTTCTATTTTGATTATTTTCTAATTTCTTTAAACTGAGTTTAACATAAATTTTATTGTGAATAACATATTTTAAATTTTGTCTAAATTACCTATAAATTATATGTAATATATATATATAAAAATTAGATTAATATAACTAAATTATTTTGATATATGTGACAAAATTAGTTTAAAAAGTACAACCATGGGTAGCCATTCTATTTTAAAAACATTTAGACAAAATACAAAATAGTTGCATTTTCAGTAACAAAAAGCAAAAAATTAAAATAAAGTCAGAAAACAAAACACAGTAATGAGTGACCATAATCATTCTATTTTTATTTGAATTTACTTTTGTGATTTAGCATATTTAAATGCACAAGTTTTACTAAAGATTAGTATATTTAATTGATAAGAATGTAGGATAATGTAATTTTTTATTATATTTTTCTGAATCAGCACATCCAAATATATAAGAACCAGGGGAATTAGTAAAAAAAGAAAAAATATATTGCGGTCATTTCAAATATCATATTAAAAGTATTTTGGAATTGTATATATTTGAGTTATCAACTTTATGTTTTATTAAAAGTAATTTTCAAATTTTATTTTTGAAAGAGCTATTATATCTAGTTTTTTTTTTAATAGATAAAGAAGCTAGGCTCTCAACTTTCATTAATGAAAATGGATCAGGAAAGCCATGATGATAAACAAAAGCGCTTATATGAAGAAAATCGTGTGTTACTTAACAGGTGAGCGTTTAACTTTTTTAAATTTGAAATAGTGATATAAATATATATATATATGTATATATATATATATATATATATATATATATATATATATATATATATATATATATATATATATATAATTATAACTAATATAATTACAAAAATAATTTTTACAGTTATTATTATCATCATCAATATCATTGTTTTGATAAAAAAAAATATCTTCTTCTTGTTATTGATTTTTTTTGTTTGCTTATATATATATATATATATATATATATATATATATATATATATATATATATATATATATATATATATATATATATATTTGGGTCTTTTATAAGACATAAATTTTTTTTGTTCACATTGTTCACATTAAGGGGGTGGCAACATATATTTTTAAAAAATGTATATATATATATATATATAAATTAGTAGAAAATCACTTAGCAAAATTTTTTCTCATTTAACACTGTGTTTCATCAATAAAGACATCAGAAAATCTTTATTGATGAAACACAGTGTTAAATGAGAAAAAATTTTGCTAAGTGATTTTCTACTAATTTGTAATTGCTCTGTTCTTTTAAGAACATTGAGCACTCTTTTTGTAGAATACATTTTAAATTGTTTAAATATCTATATATATATATATATATATATATATATATATATATATATATATATATATATATATATATATATATATATATATATATATATATATATATATATATATATATATATATATATACATACATACATACATACATACATACATACATACATACATACATACATACATACATACATACATACATACATACATACATACATACATACATACATACATACATAAAATTTTAATGAATGATTTTGCAAAAGAAATTTTTCAATGTTCTTTTAATAATTATAATTCATCATTTATGCTTATTGTTATAAAAATTAATGAAAAATAATTATGGAAACAAATGGTTTTCTCTTCTTCTAGAATATAGATTTTAGAATAAATGCACTCCAAGGGGCAGCCATTGCTGTGTACCAAAATGAAATAGCTGTAGATTTATAAAAGATTTCCAAAATGATATACAGTAGCTGGCAAATGTTTATAAACAGCAGAATATTTTTTTCTCATAATTTTTTGCCTTTTCACCAAAAATAATTTTTTTACCAATTGTTCCTCTAATGTGATTATATAGAATAATCACATTATATTTATGGCATTGTATAGCTTATATTAAGAAATATAAGCTAATTTCAAATCAACCAATCCATATATACCAATCCAAGTATATTAATTAACTCAAAAAATAAGTATAGATTTAAAACATATTATACATATGTTTGTATTAAAAACAAATTTATTTGTTGGAATGGTGCAATAATTTATGGTGTTTATAAACAGCTCCATAAATGTTTATAGCTCTATAAAAGTTTATAAACAGCTCTACAAAGTTATCAAAATTTAATTAAAAAAAAAAGATGTAAACATATAGTTTTTTACTTTAATGAAAAATAATCATGGTGTTAACCAGGAATATTTCTTTTTTGCGATATTATTAATTTTTATTGATGTTGTTTTACAAAATATTGGGAGTTTTTATGAATAGTGTCCTATTAATTCAAAAAAAAGAAAAAAAGAAAGGTCATTGAACTATGTGAATAATAAACCTATTGGGAATTCTGCAGTATATGCGGTGCCATTGAGCTGGCTTACAGTGTGATAATCGAAGTTCAAAGAAATTGGCACGAGAAAAGTTCTATAATAGGTGCTTTAGAGAAGGAGATTCCTTATGAGCTTATATAGAGATTTCTTATAAGCTTGCATATTATTTCTGAGGTTTTTGATGTGACTAAATCAATAACTAGCATACTAGAGACTTTAAAAACACTTTAATCTTTAAGCATTGTAACCAAGCATTGTTCAAACATTGTAACCAAGCATTGTTCAAAGCCTTGTTCAAAACATTGTAACTAAGCATTGTTCAAAGCATTGTAAACAAGCATTGTTCAAATCATTGTAACCAAGCATTGTTCAAGCAGGTTAAAGATAACTATATAACATCAAAAGAGAATTTGTTAAGATAATTAAAAAAAAGATCCTTGCAAAAGTGTTTTTGAAAAAGATTATATTGAAATAAATATATTTGTACCCCTGGAACATGGGCAGCATTAAACATAAAGGATTCAACTATTGAAATATTGAGACTAATAATCATTGAGACAAGCTCAAAAAAATTTTGGTGAATAGCGAAATACTGTCAGCACTTTTAAAAAGGACCTAGAAAAGCCCATAATATGTATGAATATATATGTATATATATATATATATTAGGGTGGTGCTTAAAACAACTTTTTTGAGAAAAACCTGCTGGTACCCCCTAAATGTGTTTTATCTAATACAAAAACACTAGGTTTAAAATTTTTTTGAACAAAAAATATTTTTAGGGGTAGCTCAAGGCCCTCAAAAATTTGACGGGTCCCTAATATTTTGAAAAAAAAACTTTTTCTAAAGTATGTCAACCTGGTACTCAAAATAAGCAAAATTATATAAAAAATTTAAAAATGAAAATTATTTTTTTTAAAAATAATTTTTTCGGGTATAAATGCATAAAAACTATTGTTTTTAAGCTGAAAATAAAAAAAGTCAATATTTTCAGGTTTTTTGAGAATAATTTTTTTTAGGCATGTTTTTTATGTAAAATGATTATTATTTTTGAAGTTTTTATATAATATCGCTTCTTTTGAGTACCAGGTTGACATACTTTAGAAAAAGTTTTTTTTTCAAAATAATAGGGACCTGTCAAATTTTTGAGGGCCTTGAGCTACCCCTAAAAATAATTTTTGTTCAAAAAAATTTTAAACCTAGTGTTTTTGTATTAGATAAAACACATTTAGGGGGTACCAGCAGGTTTTTCTCAAAAAAGTTGTTTTAAGCACCACCCTAATATATATATATATATATATATATATATATATATATATATATATATATATATATATATATATATATTTATAGATATATATATTTATATATATATATATATATATTTATATATATATATATATATATATATATATATATATATATATATATATATATATATATATATATATATATATATATATATATATATATATATATATATATATATATATATATATATATATATATATATATATATTTACCTAGGGCCTCCTTTTACCTAGGGCCACCCACTTTATTTGAAAGCTATAAAGTTCCAAGTAATTTTTCTCAGTCAGGTGATTGGTTATAAAAATATATAATTTTTAATCCTATTTTGATTCTCAGAGAGGGTTGCTACAACAAGTTATAATTGGAAAACACTTTTTGATAGTCTAAAGTAAATTTTTGCCATTTGTATCTTAGATTGATTTACAATTCTAGAGGAAAAGCTTTTCTATAAGTTCTTGTATATTATATTGTTTGTTACTTAAGTACTAAATGTGATGTTCAATAAGTTTCATCTCAATAGGAGTTTGTTAACTGATGACATTTTTCATGTAGCTATCATTTCTTGTACCTATGGCCATATAGTTTGCTTTTACCTAGGGCCATATATGGGTAAAGAATTTGTTTGATAATGATGTAGATTGTTGAATTTTGATTGGTGCAGAATTTTTCTTTTTTCTTCTGGTTGTATTTGGACTAATATTTTTCACGTAGACTTATTTGTCTATTTTGTTTGAACTATTAGTCAATGTTGTTATTTATTTAAGTGTTGCAATTAATTAACACTAGATAACTTTGTTGAAAACAAATCTAAGATTCAATAAATTTTTAATCAAATTTTATGTGTTTTTTGTTGTAAATTTATTATGGAATTAAACCTAATTTTAAGAGACCCTAGGTACAACAAAAAAAAAGCTCGTTGTTTCTAGGGTCACTAATTTTCAAAACCTTGTGACAGACTTTTATATTTTAAGTCAATATATTTATGCCAATACAAAGTATTTGTATAGAGATGTTATCATATTAGTTACACCATTTTTAAACATGTCTCGGGCATTGAATGCGCAATGCATTGAAGAAAATTCAGACCTAGCTACACAAACTTCCCCTATATATATATTAGGCACTGGTATTACCGAAATACAATTATGCGATAAATTTTGACAGTGATTTTTAGATAATTAAGATTGATTAGTTTCAATTGTGATATTGAGTATGCAAATGCAGTAATGCCAGTGCTTAATATATGTAATTATATGTGTATGTATATACACAAATATATGTGTGTATATATTTAATAATAATAATTTAATTGTTTAAAGAAATAATGATTTTTGATGAGTTTAAAAATTTGCAGGAAAAGAGTTTATACATAAAAAAGTAGAGATTTTTTAACAATATTTGATCAAAATATATTAGAAATTCAAAATCACATTACTATTTTGTCTTTACAATCAAACATGGCTTTGCACTTACAAGACATACTAAATTAATGCAAACATCAATAGAAATTAAGTGCTTTACTTCTTTGATTTTTCTGAATAAATTATCATGATTTTTAAGTTTGATGCCTGATGTTTGTCAACAGTGATTGTCACAGTCAACATGTTCCCTTAAATGATCAATGGCATCTAATCTCAACTAAGTCAATTGATTAGGATAGCCATTTCAAAACACAAACTTCACTCTTTTTGAACAGATCTTGAACTGGTTTGCTTGTGTGTTTGGGATGGCTGATAGTATATCCTTCCAGGAGCCATTTTATCTTTTGCATAAAGTAACATAATGCTTTAATGTCTTTTTATATTTCTTGATCAATAGTTCAGTATATCTATAAGCAGATCAACACTGTTCTGACTAAAATGTCCTGAAACCATTATGTTACCTCCTCCATGTTTATGGTAAACAGTTATGATTTAGGATCTTATTTTGTGCCTAATGGACTTCAAACAAACTTGATTCCATCTGATTCCAACTGCATAAACTTGTTTTCATCACTAAAAAGAACCATTATTGACTGTTCAATATCAGATTCTGTTATGCAGATTTTTCTCAGGGGTTTTGGTTTTTCAAGAAAATCAGTGGTTTTTTTTAACTGGACCTCTTCCAAACACACTTGCATACGCAAACAAGTATTTGCAATAGAAATTCTAAAATTCATTCCATAAAAACGTTTCTTTTGTTTTATAAACATTTATTTTTCATTTTCATACATTTTCCAATTAATTTGCAAAATATATGTAGGCGACAATAAAATCCCAAGTTTTGTTAACACTGCTAACTAAAAGCATTGTTTAGCAGTGTTTAGCTGGCATTGTATAGCTTATATTAAGAAATATAAGCTAATTTTAAGTCAACCAATCTATATATACCAATCCAAATAGCTTATCTTAACTTTATTGATGACCGTCAAATTGCAATCTTAACAGAGTTTAACTTGAAGCAACTTCATCAGAAAGAGATTTTGGTGTTTCAATTTTTGATCCTAACAAAATTCCCTATGTCTAAAATCTAACAAAATTCTTGTGTCCTAAAGCTCAGCTTCATCAGCAGAGATTAAAAATACTGGAAAAAAAGAATATATAGTTAATGTATGGTCACTTCTAGAAATTTCTGTCATTGCTTAGTGTTTTAGTTTGGAAAAAGGTCATTTTTATAATTAAAAGGTTGTGTAGCAAACGTACTGCAAAAAATGATTATTACTTTTATACACTATATCTTCTTGGATTTGCAAAATAGACCATATCAACAACGTTTGGCCTATAGAGAAAACCAAATTTTTATTTTTTTCTCCAGATTTGCTTGATTTTGCTAATGTTGAGACTAGTGTCAACCAGCTCATATAAATTTATTGAATTTATATATATAAACATACACTATCACTTCTATCATTGTCATTTTCTTAATGGATATATTCTACCCAGAATTATTTTTAGTATGAACATTTAAGGAATATTTACATTTTTAAAATATTTAAAATGCAAATAATTCTTGAACCATATATTGCTAATTTCAATAATTTTCTGACAATGGAAATGTATAATTTGAATTATCCAAAAATTACAACCTTGAGTTTGTCTTTTATGATTTGTTTAGTTCTTATTAGTATATATAAGAGTAATGACCATGGTAAAGGAACTACATTTGTGCCAATATATGTACATATATATGCAGTATATGCATAATAATATTATGGTATATTTTAGACAGTGCCAATGGTATGACTTACAGTTTAGTTTTTTGTCTTTTGCGTAAAACTAATCTTCTCCATCTAAGTCATCATATTGGTATTGACAATTATTAAACTTCTCCTCAACTGTTATAGATTCTATATATACATCAGAGCAACAGGTACAGATTCAGAAGGAAAGGCCTGCCAGAAATTTGCCTTGAATTTAAAAAACAAGGAGGTTTGCTAATATAGAAAATGTTATGCATGATATACCAAGATGGTAAAAAAAAAACTATTTTTTTGGGAGTGCAATACGAAATAGCTATTTATTGTATGAGCTTAATACCAATGAACATTAGCCAATATCTTAGACAAATTTTATGTTGGTAATTGAAGAAAGTTTACAGGAGGGCATTTTCCAGTCAAAGTAATTTCAAAAAGACAAACCTAAAGAGATGAATACAGCTAGAAATACCATTGCACAATTGTTCCATATCTACTTTTTCAACATACTGCAAGTAACAATCTTTTATAAGGTCACTTCATGTCTACAGATTTATATTAATTCCTATTTTTTATTTAATAAATTTTCTTGATCCAAATGATAATTTTTCAAATTATTATTGCAAACATAGCATACATATTTTGATTACATTGTTATAGTTTGGCACAATTTTCAGAATAGGCCAATTAATTTGATAGTAGTATTTTTGATCCAAATATATTTTGAAAACAGTTTTTTTTTTGAATATTTTTATGTTTAAAATATTGTTTGTGGTTAGCATGTTTTTTTCCATTCATCCTCATTCATCCTTGGTGATTTTCCCTTGATCTCTGGTGATTTTTATTAGGAGAGTTCATATTCAGATTCAAAGCATAATTCATTATTCAAAGTTATAAGTTTTGTTTACATTGTGTTACTATTTAGTATTAAAATGTTTATTTGTTAAAGTATTAATTACATGAGGAGAATAAAAGTATTTATCCATAAAAGTTTGTTCAAGAGGGGGAGTGGTTGCTGTTTTAATAAACATATTTGAAAATCTTCAATAATTATTAAAGATTCATAAATTAATCAAACAAATCCGAGTTTTTCTATTCATAAATATTTTCTTATTCAACTATGTTAAAGAATCTTATTAAATATTCAGATTGATAAATTTTCTCAATGTTTCATGTTGTTTAAAACACTTAACAAGTGCTTTAAGTTGATTCCGTCTAATAAATATCGCAAGCAAATGCAATTGTTTATTTACAATAAAAAAATGGTGAAAAGAATCATAAAGATCTAATTTTTTTAATTTAATATCTACAAAAGTATAGAAGAAAATTTGAGACACAAAAGTTTGTAATCATAATGTCTTAAATATATTTTTGATCATCAAATGCTGAAAAACGTGAGTTAAACAATTTGGTATTTTTGTTATCCAAAAAAGGTTTTACTTAGTTTTAAAAAAATTGTTTGGTGTAGTTTATATATGTACTGATAACTATTTTTTGCTTTTCTTATAGAATCAATGGTTTGGAGGAACAGTTGAATGACCAGAAATCAATCTCGCTTAAAGTTGTTGAACAGGAGAGTCAAAAGTATAGAAAGGAATTAGTACGGAGATTGTTTAATTTTTTTTTCCTGTCTGGTTAATCCATTCGCCGAAAATTCTTTTTGTGTCAGATTTTTTCTATACTTTTTGTGTAATTTATATTCTAGCTTAAAGTTCAACGCGACCATAGCAACCAAATTGACGATTTACAAATGAGGTATTTTCTTAAATGTTAATTTTTTATTATTGATGATTTTAACTCAATTATTTATTCTTTTTTCAAATATTTAAAATTATGTTTGCTTTTCATTGCAATATAAAGAGATATCTTTAATTATCCGCATGTTATTTTAATTAATACTTATGTGGTAATCCGATTTATATTTATAAATAAATGCTGACAAGTTTTAAACACTAAACGTGTGTTTAACAAAACAGTTTGTTACGGGTATAAATTTTTTGCTGAAAATAAATTTAATGGATTTATAACTTTTACATAATGTGTATCTGTAAGGTTTTTGGAGGCACAGCAAGAGATAGAAAATCTCAAATCAATTGAACCAATGCTAAGGAAAGAAATCGAATCTTCATTGGAGGTGATTATATCTTTTAAAATATTTCCTTGCATTTTAAATATCATTTTTAGTTTCTCCAAATAGAAAACATATTTATACATTTTGTAAATTTTTATGAATTTTAACATGACTTTTCAATATTTTATGTAGACACTAGAATGTTTTAGTAATTTATTAACGATGAGGTAAAGCGATAAAATAAAATTAATTAAAAAAAAATAAATAGTTTTTTCATAATTATTTATGAAAAAACTATTTATGAGTTATTTCCTTTGTTCTTTTACGTTATTGTTAAAACTTTGAACATAACCATTATTGACAAGTTTCCTTTTTGACTTATGATAGAAATCGATAAGGAAACTTATTGATTATTCATAATTATCTGTTTATTCATAAATTGTCATAATTTCTAAATTCATTATCTGTTTTATTATCTGTAAATGTCATAATTCATAAATTCATTATCTGTTTATTCATAAATTGTAGAAAAAAAAAAAAAAAAAAAAACTTTAAAAATAAAAAAATTTATCCAAAAAACCAATATAAAAACGAAGTAAAAGCAATGTTTAAACAACTTTTAGAAATGTTGTATAAACATTGTTTTTATATATAAACAGATGTATAATGTTTTTTTTATTTAAAATGTATTAAGACATATACATATACATGTATAAAGTTTATATGCATTACGTGTATATTACACATAATGTATATAAACATTATATGTGCATATACACATAATGTACATATAATTTACGTACATATGTACATAAATTATATGTACATTATGTTTATATGTACAAATTATATTACATAACACATAATGTGTATATGCACATATAATTGTGTACCTGATGTATATGCATTATATACAATAGTGAACAAAATAATAATACGTAAAATAATAATTAAGGAAAGAAGACTTGCTCAAAAGCACATAGAAAAACTTCAAAACGAAATTGTGGATAAAGAAAAAGAACTCGAACATTTAAGATACAAACTAAAATTAAAAAACGACGAATTAGAACGGGAACAAGTTAAAAGAACAGATGAGGTATCAGCGTTATTGCGTGAAATAGAAAATTTAAAATATATGAAAAATGCCGCCATTGTTAACTTTGACGAGAGGCAGGATCTACTGAAACAAATCGAAATTTTAAAAAAAGTAATTTTTGTTTTGTCTTTTTTTTTCTTATGGATGTTTCCTATTTTTGTGATGTTTTTTGTTACGTCTGAGTCTTAATTTGGAATAATGTTTTAGTTTTTTTTTATGTTCGTGTCTCACTTTTTGAATAATTTTTTTTTGCTATTTAAAATGAAAGAGTATTTTAGTATTTCCTTTTGCGTTCCAAGGAAAATGATTCACTTAAAATGTCAGAAGACGAACTTAATGCACGATTAATTCAGCAAAGCTCTCATATATTGCAGGTAAAAACGTGCAAATTTTTTTTTTCTTTGAGACATAGAAAATGCCAAAGTATAATTTTTAAGTTTTATTTTTGAAAAACGTTCTGCTCAAGTATCTTTAAAACTGATTTTTTAGAATCGCAAATCTTTAGCTGACGAGCTAGTTTCTGCTGATAAATGTGATGTTCTAGATGCACTTCGCTCCGAAGAGAGCGAAAACCACAGACTAAAGCAATATATCGAACAATTACTTTCACTCATTATGCAAACAAATCCGTTAATACTTGAAAAGTAAAGTTGTTTTTTTTTTTTTTTTTTTTCTCTATGAATCTTAGATTAAAGAGATTAATGCGACGCGAAAATCATTTTTTTTTTTTCACGAAAAAAATACAAACTTAATTTCGATAATCGGCGAAATACTTAATCTCGCCGAAAGTAAAAAGTGATTAGTTAAATTGTAAATGTGAGTGGACTATAAATAGTGCGTTTTGAGGAGTGCTGTTTGAAAAATAAACAAATAATTCTCGTGTACAGTCTTTGAAATAGTATATAAACAATTATATCCAAATAAGGTTTTATACGTGCTGTAAAATTTTCTAAAGAATTATGTTTGTGGCTTTATGGTAGATTTATGGGTTTGTGGGTTATTATTTTTTCTTTACCTGTACTTTTAAATTTTATACTTTTTTTTAATTTTATCTTCTCACTAAATATACAAAATTAGTAATTAGTTTTTTTTAATAGTTTCTTAAATGTATATATTAATTTATGAATTTTTTTACCATGATTTTTAATGTCCTATTTTATGGTCGAGAACGAATTTTAATCTGATATTTATATAGAAATATTATTGTTCAATACGAAATATATTCATTATTGCTAACAAGTTTATATATGCATATATTTATAAACGTATCCAAATATATATTTTTTTTATTTAATTAATTTTTGGAATAGCACTTTAAATTTCAATCTTTTTCTATAATGAATATTCTGCATGTGGTGAACTGTTGTAATGAAACATGTATATTACCAACGGTAGATACTTGTTTTGTACCATATTTTACCCCTGTGGGTTATTGCTATGTATTTATTAGTTGAAGACTTTTTTTGTAATCAATTTTTAAATATACCTTACTTTTTTTTAAATAATATTTTAATTATGAGTTGTTTTGCATCTTGAAATCTCTATCGAAAATCAAAGTTATAAAAAAATTTTAAAATAATACGATAAAAAAATTCTGGTTTTCTCAAATCATAGTGTTTTTTGTCTCAAGTCGGATAGCAATAGTTATAGTTTGAAATAATATGAAATGATAAAGCAAAATCTTACCAGAAGGATTTCCTGAAATGCAATTTAAAATAGAACACTTCAGTTTCAGGTATTTTTTATTAGAAGCGTGATCAAAATGTTTTTATAAAGATATTTTAAGATTTTCAAATGAGCTTTATTTTAGTTTCCAATACAATTTTCATCTTTTCTCTTCCAGTAACTTCCAACACTAATTAGTGGTTGCTTGCAGCCTAAATGGAAGCGAAGATTTAATTAAAAAAAAAAAAAAAAAATTCCAATATTACGAACTAAATTAAAATGTCTTCACGTTTGCAATTTATTACCGGCTGATACTGTTTTGGCCAACTACCATCATTAAACTAAAGTTATTTGATTTCAATTAATCTCAGTTTAAAATAGCATCAAGGAATAGTCGGTTCCAACTCTTTCTCAAGAATGTTTTATTTGGACGGTTTTTTGTTATTACAATTTCTCAAAGAAAAAATAAATTATCTCTGAAACTAATGTTTTTGCTTTTTTTTTTATTTATTTCTATTTTCTGAGTTTTATTGGTATCGTTTAAATTTTTATCATGGATATGAAAAGTATCGAAAATTGATTCTCTAAAATGCTTGAAAAGCAAAAAATCGACATTCTTAACGAAACTAGAAAACTATTAAAAGACCACGAAAAAATATTTGCTTCAATAACAGCTGCAAACATGAAAATTATTACTGAACGACTTGATAAGAACGATAAAGATAATATTCAAATAAAGTAATTAACATTACATAGGAGCTTGAATTAACAAATAAATCTGTAACGATGTTGGTAACCGAATGCAGTGAAATGCAGAAATTCATTTACACAAACGATGAAATTATCTCAGGTAAATTAGAAATACTAAAAAAAAACCAAAGAAATTAATAACAAGATCAAAGATAATAGCGAGGTCGCAAAAATAAAAAGCTTAGGGAATTAGAAGACCGCTCAAGAAGAAATAACTTAAGAGTTGAGAAATAACTTAAGGTTAAAAGAAAGTGAAAATGAAAAGTGGAAAGAGACTGAATTAAAAGTGCAAAAAATGTTCGAAGATTCACTTGGATTGAAAAATATAAAAATTGAACGGGCCCATAGGACTGGGATTAGAGACTCAAAAAAGATAAGAACAATTGTTATTAAACTTCTAAATTATAAAGATAAAGTTGCGATTTTAAAAACTGCCCATAAATTAAAAGGAAAAAATATTTACGTTAATGAAGATTACTGCGCTGAAACAATGCAAATAAGAAAAGATCTACGAGAGCGACAGAAAAAGGAACGAGAGCTTGGCAAATTCGCGACAATATCTTACGATAAACTTATCGTTCGTGAGTGGATCCTAAAGAAAAAGTAAATAATTTTTGTTTATTCTATCTTAATTTTATATTTTTAAAATGGAAACTAATCGATTATCTAGGAATAATTTGATAATGATGCTTTTAATAATATTGGCATAAGTAATCTTGAACCTTTCCTAATAAACAAATATACACCGTTAAAAAATCAATCAGATATTAAATTTTATAATGATGAAGTGGAAATGATAAACGTAAGCCCTTACTACTTCAGTTCAGATATTTCAAATATTACTGCTGACATATATTCGACTGCCATACACCTTAATATTAGGAGCATCCAAAAAAATTTTGAGAAATTTAAACAATTTTTGTTTGGCGTCAAAATTATCTTTCAAATTATATGTCCAACTGAAACATGGTGTCGTGATAAGGAGATTGAAACTATTCTAAAAACTCCCTGGATAACACCTGGAATCATAAAATCTTCCAAAAAAAAGCAACGATTGTATGAAAAGTTCATTAAAAAAAGAAGTTTTGAAAATGAAACAAACTATAAAAACTATAACCGTCTTTTTGTGACAGTTGTACAGCGCTTAAAAAAGTTTTACTAAAGTAGCCAATTACTAAAATACAAAAATGACGGTCAAAAAACTTGGAACATTATGAAAGAGATTATTAGTAAAAAAAATATGAATACTAATTGCTGACCAAAAAAACTAATTATAAATGACTGTAAAATTAGTAACGATGCAATAATTGCTAAGTCGTTTAACCATGCTTTTGTTAGCACAGGTCCAAGTTTAGCATCAAAAGTAGAAAAAAGTAAAACTTGATTCAAATCGTACCTTAACTCCAATAGTAATACAATGGACCATAATATGCTAACAGAAATTTTGAGAAATTTAAACAATTTTTGTTTGGCGTCAAAATTATCTTTCAAATTATATGTCCAACTGAAACATGGTGTCGTGATAAGGAGATTGAAACTATTCTAAAAACTCCCTGGATAACACCTGGAATCATAAAATCTTCCAAAAAAAAGCAACGATTGTATGAAAAGTTCATTAAAAAAAGAAGTTTTGAAAATGAAACAAACTATAAAAACTATAACCGTCTTTTTGTGACAGTTGTACAGCGCTTAAAAAAGTTTTACTAAAGTAGCCAATTACTAAAATACAAAAATGACGGTCAAAAAACTTGGAACATTATGAAAGAGATTATTAGTAAAAAAAATATGAATACTAATTGCTGACCAAAAAAACTAATTATAAATGACTGTAAAATTAGTAACGATGCAATAATTGCTAAGTCGTTTAACCATGCTTTTGTTAGCACAGGTCCAAGTTTAGCATCAAAAGTAGAAAAAAGTAAAACTTGATTCAAATCGTACCTTAACTCCAATAGTAATACAATGGACCATAATATGCTAACAGAAAAAGAGTTTTTTGATGCTGTATACTTACTTAAACCAAATAAAGGTAATGGAGTTGATGATGTAAGCACTAATGTAATAATTAAATCAATACCATATATAAAAACCCCGCTTTTGCATATATTTACACTCTCTCTAGAACAAGGAATCTTTCCTGATAAAGAGATTGACTAGTATCACTAATTACAGACCTATTTCCATACTATCATGCATTTCAAAATTATTAGAACACATTATGTATAAAAAATTGTATTCCTTTCTAGATGCAAACAATATTCTTTATAGTAAGCAATTTGGGTTTAAAAAGAGGCACTCTACTGATCAGGCCATTTTTCATCTTGTTCATGATATCTTTAAATCATTTGATGAAGATAAATATACATTAAGTGTATTTATTGATCTCAGTAAGGCTTTTGACACTGTTGACCATTACATTTTATTAACAAAATTTGAAAACTATGGTATTAAACATACAAATATTGCGTGGTTTAAAAGCTATTTGTCAAATAGAAAACAACACATTTCTTATAATGAAGGTAAAACGACCAATATGAACATAGCATTTGGGGTTCCTCAGGGATCTATATTGGGACCACTCCTATTTCTCATTTATATTAATGATATAAGCAATGCTTGTACTGAACTAGATACAATTTTATTTGCAGATGACACAAATTTATTTTACGCACATAACGATATAAATATTCTGTTTAAGTCAGTAAACAAAGAGCTATTAAATCTTACTGAATAGTTTAATGCAAACAAATTATCTCTAAATGTAATCAAAACAAAATATACATTTTTTCCATCGTTTTCACGATCGAGATAAAATTCCTTTAAAACTTCCAAAACTTTGTATTGCTAAATTAGGACATAAAAAGAGAAACCACATTAAAATTTCTTGGCGTACTTCTTGATGAAAATGTGACGTGGAAAGATCACATACATTATCTTGAAAATAAAATCTCAAGGAACATTGGCCTACTCTGTAGTGCAAAGCCTTTTTTAAATCCAACTTGCTTAAAGCTTTTATATTTCTCATTCATTCATTGCCATCTTAATTACGCAAACATTGCTTGGTGCAGTATAAATAAAAATAAAATAAAAAAACTATTTAACAAACAAAAACATGCAATCAGAATCACTTCCAGTGTGGGCCGTTTTATACATTCCCAAGAATTATTTGTTAATTTAAATATAATGAATGTCTACCAAATAAATATCTATCATCTTCTTTTATTTATGTTCAAAATTAATAAGAATATATCTCCGAAAATATTCTACGCTCTATTCAAAATAAATCAGAACAGATATCTAAACAGATTTTCAAATAACAGTTACATTCAACCCAAAAGGTATTTTGCGGCGACTGAATTTTCAATTTATACAAGAGGACCAATAAAATATTAACAAAAGAACTTAAATAAATTGCAACGCTTAATGAGTTTAAAAACAAATTGAAGCAAAAACTATTAATGAACGACGCAGCGCTCAGCTTTTTCTGAAGTATTAATGATTGCTACTAATAAGTAATTATAGGTTTGTCATTATCAGCTTGACGATCTTAGAAAGGATCGTGTCACTTGTTACTGATTCATTTCTTCTTTTATAAAAACTTATGATTTATAAAAGTTCTCCAGATAATTTAAGGTATCTGCTGGTGTAAAAGGAAAGCTTCAGGATTATGCGTATTTGCCTGCATGCTTTTTAATAATAGAGTTTTTATTAAGCTAAACATTTTTTTTTCTTTTTTTTTTTCTCTTTAAATTTGTATTTAAATTTTTCATAACCAATACAAAACTAAAAAGTTAAAGTTAAAGAACATTAAGAACTATTATTTTTATTTATAAAATCTTAAGAAAGTGTTTTATATTATATTGTGTTACGTTTTTTTTTAATTTATTACGCTATTTTATATTTACGGTATAGATTAAGGGGCTTGGTGATAAGACAAATTGTCTTATGTCTTATCACTATTTATTAAAATGTCTTCTTCTTGCCCCTGCTATTTGTATATATGTTATGCTTTACGACTTGAATAAATTTATATGGTAAAAAAAAAAAAAAAAAAAAGCATATGGATTTTAATCGGATAAGAGGTATCAAAGAAAGTTTTAATGTGTTTATTTTATATTTAGCAGCATGACAATTTTAACTGAAATTACATGAAAAGTCCTCTAGTCTGATGAAAAAAGTTTTTCATTTTCAAATCTTTTATTCTAATAAGTCATGTAGTAAAAATTATTATAAAATATTTTAGTCCATTTTTTTTTCTGTCTAGGATATAGAGCACAGAAGAGATGAAGATAAGTGACTTATGTTCTTTAACTTTTTGTTTAATTATTTGTTTCCGTATTCGGCTTTTTACCTTTATATAAAGCCAATTCCATGGTATTCATTTAGCATTTTTTCGATTTCATATGGTTCTCAACCTCTTTACTTTCTTAATGCAGTATTTTTTGTTGGTTTTTAATTTTTCTCTGAATTTTTTTTATCTCTCAGCTCCAGACATTTTTATTTTCAATATTTAGAAACTCTTGTAATAATAGTTTTTTAGAGATCTACTTGAATAGAATCAATACGACCAGTAAATGTGATTTGATAGCTATGGTTTTATTCATTTTATACATGTAGATATATATATATATATATATATATATATATATATATGTAGATATATATATATATAAATATATATAAATATATATATATATATATATATATATATATATATATATATATATATATATATATATATATATATATATATGTAGATATATATATATATAAATATATATATATATATATATATATATTTATATATATATATATATATATATATATATATATATATATATATGTAGATATATATAAATATATATATATATATATATATATATATATATATATATATATATATATATATATATATATATATATATATATATATATATATATATATATATGTATATATATATAGATAGATAGATAGATACATATATATATAGATATATAGATATATAGATATATATATACACGGAAAAAAACACATACTTTAGTCCCTGTGTAATAAGGTTTAATAAACCCACAACAAGAGGTAATCCACTGTTATTTAGGGTGGTAGCCCTCTAATCAAGAAAGTAGACAATATCAGTTAAGGAATGAATTTAGATTTTCTTAAACAAGACAATTGCCCAAAATTGGGTGCCGGTTCACACTCTCAGACAAAAAAAGACATTCATTTCTGGTGTAGCCAGCTTTCTAACGCTTTTTTGGAACTCTTTGATTGCGTGATAAAACTAGAAGCAACAAAAACTGAAAATGATGAAAACATTAAAAGTCTGAAGATATAAATATAGCAGCTAGTTCAAGCAAGTTTATTAGTGACTGGTCGCTTATTGTCAAACAGGTTGTACAAAAAAAGAAGCCTATAGAACATCTGATGGTAACAAATGTAGCCATTAATGAGTTAGACGAAAGAAAAAGAAGAGCAAAAAATGTCATTATTTATGGAGTAACCGAATCAACTAAAGATAGCATAAAAATGAAATCAAAAAAAGACGAGTCAAAAGTAAATGAAATTTTTAAGCTCATAAATCAAGAGAATATAATACCAAAATTTGTCAGACGGCTGAGATCTAAAACTAATAAACCAGGTCCAATTCTTGTTGAATTAGCTGAGTATATTCTTCACAACATAATATTAGCATCAGCTAAAAAATTGAGAAGTAATGTCGCACATAAAGATATTTACTTTAGTCCAGATTTGATTGACTCCAAGACTTTAACCTCAGAAAAGGCAATAAGATCATCAAATTCAAAAAGAAATCAGACCTATAAATTTCTACATAATTCAGTGTCAGGTAGCAATGAAATTAAAAAGCTGTCATGTTTATACCTTAATGCTACCTCTCTCGACAACAAGTTAAACGATTTCAAAGTAGTAATTGAACAATACAAATCAAACGTAATTTCTCTGACTGAGACATGGTCTAAAAGTAATTCAGTTGTAAACATTGAAGGTTACCATCTGTATAGAAAAGACAGATCAGACGGACGAAAACGTGGTGGTGTTTGTTTATATATAGACAACTCATAAGACTATTATGAAGTTCATAGTATATAAGAACAGCATTATTTAGTATGAACTAAATGATGCTGTTCTAATTCCCTGTAGATTAGGACAAGTGTGGGCAGTTATTTATTTTGTTAATGACAAGTATTTACTTGGATGTATCTTTTATATATACATATATATATATATATATATATATATATATATATATATATATATATATATATATATATATATATATATATATATATATATATTTAAAATAAATAATCAATACAATAGTATATACAAAAAAAAACTTTCAAAAAAAAACATTCAAAATGAAAAATGGAAATTTTTAACTACAATATTTCAACGGAATAATTGAAGTAATAAAATGAAACAAAAGGTAGATAACCAAGAAGTTATCAATCCACTAAAATGACGTTGTGTTTTATTATAAATAATGACATATAACTAAATAATTGTTACTAATTATTTCATATCAACAAAAGCACAACAAAAATACAACAAAAACAAACAAAATTAAAAAGTTAAAAAAATGTAGTAAAAAAGTTAAAGAAACGTAGTACAGATTAAAAATAATTTTTTGATTCAACAATTAAATTATTTTCAAAATATGTATTTGAAATCATATATATATAGAAGTCCATATTTAGTAAATGGCGTTTTGAATCAGCCTTAAACTTTTCCATTGTGCAGTTTAAGACGAATTCTAGTTTATCATTAAAAATGCAAAGAAAATTTTCCCAAACAAAAGATCCACGAATTTGGTAAGAACTTATTATAAGATGGGTTTATGGGAATAACAAAGTTATTTTCTGAAAATTTAGTAGGATATATATGAAAAACTTCATTAAAGTACGATTGAAATGTTACTGGCGATAAACCACGCTTTGCTTTAAACATAAATAGCATCACTTGATGAATGTTAAGTTTATAAGTATTTCAAGTTCACGCAAGAGAGGCTCGCAATATGCATTTCTGTTTTCTCCAAATATCATCCCGCAAGCATATTTTTGTTTACTACAAAATTTTTTATATATATATTTTTTTTATTTGCATTCACTCCCAACAAGGCTGCAAGCAACCACTATTAAGTTAGGAGTTACTAGGGAAAAAAAACAGAGTTATAGAGCAAGGAAACGGTTGACAGAAGACTTGAAAAGTTGAAGGTTGTATGAGTCAGGAAAACATGAAGATGGGAGAGAGTTCCAAAGGATTGAAGTGCGGGGAAAAAAACTAGATGAATAAAAGTTTTTAGAACATGCAGGGACAGATACAGTAAACGAATGAGACTTAGCTGAATGACGAGTAAAACGAGAATGAATTTTAGTTGATGGAACTAGAGATGATAACTCTTTTGAGCAGTGACCATGATAGTATTTGTAGAAAAGAGAAAGAGATGCAACTTTACGACGATGTGAAAGAGGTTCAAGCTTAGCAGATAGTCCAGGTCCAACAACATTTACAATGCGTTTTTGAACCTTGTCAAGAAGAGAAAGTGAATCGTTAGAAGAACCAGCCCAAATATGACAACAGTATTCCATACAGGGACGAATAAGAGATTTGTAGAGAATGGAATCAGAAGTAAGAGGTAGAGAATGGAATCAGAAGTAAGGAAATGGCGAGCACGATAAAGAGAAGCAACCTTAGCAGAAGCTAATTTAGCAATA